TGAAATTTCTAGAATATTCACCACTCATATTAATTACACAATTCAAATACAAAATAAATAAATCAAATTTATTTAATAACTTAATTACTTTTATTAAATTGATGAAGAGTCAAGATAAATTCAATTTTATAAGTATAATGATTTGAATTCCTTTATTAAACCTACCAAAAAATATCTTTATTTGTATCAAGTTGATTAAATTTATTTTTAACTTCAATTTTTTAGTTGTTATAAGTTTTTCAAAAAATGGTAAGATGATAGTTAAATCTGTTAAATCGAATCTAGATTCTCTAATATATGCTAAAACATAATTTTATTTAATATAAAGAAGGATTTAAAAATAAAGAATACATTTTATGAAATATAAATCCCTAAAATGTTAGAAACAATAACAAATAATTAACAAATTTTTGAAAGAGTTTATAAATGTAAACCTGCTTTGAGAAAGCTTAATTATACATTACTTGCTTTTTCAAATACTTCAGCGCTTTATATTAAATAGAATAATCTAAAATTTTCATCTTGTTCGAGTAATTGTTAAGATATGGCTTTTAAAATAAATAAAATGTCATTATTTTCGAATAATGGAGTATTTGTTTTATTAAAAAAAGAGGCTGGTTAAGCTATAAGGATTTACATTGATACAAATGATTGTTTATCTATTATGACTTATGATTTATAATTCACTCCTTAAAAAGTATTTTAATATGGTAATAATTTGATAATGGTTAGAGAAGCCTAGTTTCCATTAATTTTTATAATGTATCCTATTCAATAGATTTAACATTTATAATAATTAAAAGAAAAACTCTATTTATTTGATCAAATAGATTACTATTAATAAATTGGTCACCATACTTATATATAATATTAGTAAATATTAATTTAAGAATATTAACAATCATTAAATTACTATAAAATTAATGATTCATAAGTTATTTACATATTTAAGATTGGAATTGGATCTTAAGTATTGGCTGTACATAGAATTTAAAACATTTTAATTCAGTACTACATAGAAAATTTTCATATACACAATTCTGGAAATATTACTTTTTACAATTATTCATTAATTCGACCACTAGTTTACTAACTTTATAATACTAAAATAATATTATTAGCATCTCAAAATTAATAATTATATCTCTTAATAATTGAATTATACAACTTGTAAATAATATAATGGATTAAAAGTATCAAAAGTAATAGTGAAAACTTTTTTATAAAAGAATCATACTTAATTTATCAAGATGAAAACAATTAAATGAAATAAATAAGTATTGATACAATTAATATAGAAATAAAAAATGTAAATTCTACTTAAAGTAAATTTTTTGATGAATAAACTCATAAAATTTAATTATTATCTAATTTTAATTATGAATAAAAAGAATGTTTATTGCATATTGAAATTTACAATGAATGTAAAAAATTATAACTTAATGAGTATTATGAGAAACAATTAGTCAACAATAAAATAGCATTCAATAATTATTTTTATGGACCTATTTATAGAATTTCAATTCAGAATAATTAAAATGTTAAAATAAAAGGGCCATTTCTTGAAATTCAATAATTATAAGAATGTATATCAATATCAGATCTTAATTGTATTTTAAAAAAATAATTTAAAACAAATCAAAAATTAATTGAATGCTATTTTATGATAGAAATAAATTAATTTAATCTTTTGTTTTGCTAAGATCTTATTAGAAATTTAAATTAAATTACATAGAGAAATGAGCAAAATCTTAATTAGTTAATTTTTCAGATTTCTAATTATAGTTTAATTTATTTTTAGAGTCTAGAAGACTAAAAAGGATTTTCTTATTAAGTTTTCTATTACGATAAAATGATTGGATCGTTTAAATAAGAGTCTATTGAAAATAAAGATATTAAAATAGATATAAATTATCCTATAGAAATCTAAAAAATTGGTAATTTAATAATCTTTTAAAATGAACATGAACAACAACTATTTTCCTTGTAAATAAGGGGATTAAATTAAATTTTTTCTAAGCACAAAATGAAAAAATTAATAAAAATTGAAAATTAGGAGAATCTTCTAATTTCATTAGAAATGGTTAAATAACTTATACGAATAGAAATCAAATTCTATTTATTTAAATTAGAAGGAACCAAAATTTCTTTATAAGGGTTGATGTCTTTAGATTGTAAGGAACTTTATAATTTAACAGAACTCATATTATCATATAATAGTATATTAGGAAATTTTGATATTTTAAAAGAAAATGATATTATGTTATTAAAAGGTTTTGTAAAATAAAACTACATTCATATATAGATTTCTTAAAGATTAGGAGAACTTATAATATTTTATGATATAAATTTTGATAAATAATATAATTTTCAATCAGGAAGTATTGATAAAATAATTAGGAATTGTTAAAAAGAATCATAAATTATTTATAAAGACGATTCTATACTCATAATTGATTGTAAATCTAAAAGATTGATATATGATTTAAGAGTAGATAAACAATTTTATGATCCTGTTTAAGAAATTGTTTAAAATAATAAAAATATTCATCTATTCAATACTACTCATGTGATATTTTAAACTGTTGAAATTAATCAATTTTTTTTTGGGTAATTTGGTTATGAGATTTATTAAGAAACATAAAAAAATGATATTGAAACATTTACTTTAGAAGTTTAAAATGATGTAACAACAATATAAATAGAATTATAATTAATCAATACTGAAATAGTTAATGGATTTGTAATAAGCTTAAATGAATTAATTTTGTGTTTTTTTATCTTTCTAATGATTTTCTTATTGATTTATTGTATCAGAAGATGTTGGTTATAAAAAAGTACATATATGAAAGTGCCAAAAAAAAATTGATGCTCATTAAATTGTTATTTAATATTTAAATTATTTTGTCTAATTCATTATTATAATATAAAACTAATAATTTATATTAATTTATTTTATTCTAATTTAAGTCTAATCATTTGATGAATTTTAGTTTAATTTTAGATATCATAGATATAAATAACAATCTGTAGATTACAGAATTAAATATGATAAGTTTATATGATTAAATAAAAGATTAATAATATCTGAAAACATTATGTTTTGAACATAAATAATAAAAGTAATGCTGAAATTTAAACTAAAACGAAATATTTTAATTTGATAAAATGATTTTCTATTCTTAAATTATGTATTAATAATATGAATAAAAGGATTAAGATTTCTAAAATATATGCATCGATTCTAAATTTTACATGATTAATCATTCCAGAATATTTATAGGAATTTGAATAGAATATTTAAGATTAGAATAATAATATGATAATAATGAAAGAAATAAATTTAAATTAGAGAGATGAAATAATAAAAATTGTAAATAATGGCATTTTCATAATAAATTGTGTAAATCCTCATAATTTATGGAAAATGTTCTTCTCAATAAATAAAATGAATTAAATAAAGATAATAATAATAATTCAATTACAGTAGAGAATTTAATATTAAAATACCAAAGAATAGTTGATAATAATAACAATATTAGTGATAAAGAATTATAATATCCAGAAGTATAAACACTTATAAGATATTATACCACTCCATATGTTTGTTAATTCTTTAATAAAAGATGAATCAAATCTATTAAAAAAATATAATCTTTATTTTTACATCCAATATATATTTTTATTCTACATTTAGTTAATAATTAAAAATGAAATAATTTAACAAAAGATCCATTTAATAATAATTGTGGTTTTGTTTAACTGAATCTGAATAATCAACCTAAGATTAATGAAAATGTTGCCACTATTAATACTAAAACTTTATCAATAAGTAATTAATATAATTAACTTATCTGGGCTATTGTGATGAATGTAAAAATAAATACTTAATACCAAATAATCCCTTATTATCCTGTGAATACTGTCACAGAAATTGTCAAAGGATTATTAAATAATAATAGTTCTGCTATTTTAAATAATAATTGATCATAATTATTCTATAGATACCTTTTGGAATATATTTTAATAAATTAAGAGTTTAATAACATAATTATAATTTATAAAATTAATATGCAATTGAAGTCATAATATTGGAGATTTTTAGCCTATTTTAACAATTTGATTAGATGTTATTTAAACTAGAGATTTATAAAAACTTGTCCTAAAACAGAAATGAAATTTACATCATAGAATAATAAGTTAATGATTATCAAATCTAAAAATTAGACTTTATAATTTAAGAAAACTATAAGTTGATGATATTCTTTATTATTTATATGTTGAATTTGATTTAAACCACCTTTTCTATTTTTAAAGGATTAAAAGATTATTTTAATTATATAAATATTTAGTTAATTTAAATTAAATAGAATCAACCTAGACTGAATACTTATTGATTAATAAAAAAACCTAAAAGTAAATTTCTATTCAATAATCTCAAGAATTTCAATAAAAAGAAGAATTAATAAAAATGAATAAAAGGAAAATAAATTGTAAAATTAAAGTATAAAAAGATAGTAATTATTAAAAATAACGATAGTAAATTACATATAAACATAAATATCATACAGAGCTTATAAATAATTTAAATATCAGAATAAAATGAACCATTTTCCATAGAAGATTATAAAAATTTAAATAACTTTGAATATTTATAGTAATTAATCAAAAATATACAAGACCTAATTATAATAAATTATTATTTAATTATAATCATATCAAAGCCTATGATTGTACTTTTTCACAAAAATTGATAAATTAAATAAATAATTATTAATAATTATTTTTGATCAATAAATTTTTAATTAAAAACTTGAATTTATTAATGATAAATTTGATTTAGAAATAAAATTCTATTCTATTCAATAAATTGATGATTGATGATTTCATTAGTTATTAATTTTAAATCAATTATAGAAAAGCATTTAATATCATAATTAAATTTTTTAGAATATAAACTTAGATACTAGAAACAATGATTAATAATTATTTTATAAAAAATGGGCAACACCCCTTTACAAAATTCTCAAATAAGAGAATAACATAAAGAATGTGAATCTCAAGAATATGAAAAAATAATCAATCTTTAAAAGTAGTTGGCTCAGGATGGAGATAATAAAAAATACATTTTGGGAATAGAAAGCTATACACGTATGAAAAATAATTATGTAATCAATTATAATGGTAGTAAAGATTCGATTTCCTTATTCGAATATCTTCGATAATTAAACCAATAAGTTGATAGAGAAAAAATAGATATTAAGTTTAAGCTCTTTTATTAACTACTTAAAATAGCGGAATTTTTATAAGAAAAGGAAATTATTCATAATAATATTAAACCAACTAATATCATTTTTAATAATAATTAACTATACCTCACAGATTTTGGATATCTTAAATCTGAACAATCTCCTACTAAATTTTCAGATGATTAGAATCTTAAGAAAACTTTACTTAAAGATCAAAGAAGATATATTTATCCTTATTATAATACGGAAACATTATAGAACATAATTCAAAACAAAATAAGATAAGAGGAAGATGTGAAAAAAAAAGATCAATATGCATTAACAGTTATGATGCTTGAAATTTTTTGTCCTTTTGATGAGAAAATTGATTATAAATAGCAAAAATGCATAGAATTGTCTACAATGGATAATAGAAAAAAACAAATTTAAAGCATAAGTAAATGTCATAATAATATTTTAACAAAGGAGGAGATTTAAACCATTTAATATATATTAGAAAATAGGTTATAATATTAGTTAAATTCATTTTCAAATGAATTGATCTCTGAATATGAAATAAAAAAAGAACAATTTATAAGTTAAAAAATTATTGATTAGTATTTAAAGCTTATTGAAAATGAAGAAACTGAATTTGACATGAAAATTTTATATTTATTTTCAGAAGATGAATTGAAACACAAATTAAATTTAATTTAAAAATAATAAAATATTGATAACGGACAATTTTTATAAAAATTTAAGGACCAAAGAACATAATTAAATGACATTAAAAAAAAAATAAAAAATATTGAACTACAAAATTTATTTGATTAAAATAATCAATCAATAGATAATTAAATATCTCCTGAAATTATTTTGCGAGAATTCTTCGTACTATTATAATTGGATCAATAAATATAAGAGCTAAAAATAAATGATGCTTAAATAATTAATAAATTAAAATTAGTATCATTGTGTGATTTTAAAAAAAAATAATAATTTTAATATGTTAAATTTAAGAACTTATTAAAAGATTAATTGCCATTTGATAAATTATTTTAAGTTAAATAAACTTTAAATAATAATTAAGATTAGAGTTGTTAAAATTAAACTGAAGAAAATAAATTTCAAGAACAGAAAACTATGGAATACCTTTATACTTTTAAGCTGAAATAAAATTATTAGCAAGCTCCCTAGGATCTATTTGATAAACTTCCAAATAATATATTGAAGGATTACTTAAAGACATTATACATTTAAAATTTTCCTCTTAATGATAAATTTCCTTCAAAAGTTTATATAAAGAAAGGGTAACCAAATAATTTATATATTGGTTGGTTTAATGAAAAATAATAATTTCAAGGTTAATTAATAAAAGAATAAGTTGTTCAAGATAATAATTAAATTTAAACAAATTCTAGGTTCCATAAATTAATCTCATGTATAAAATCCAAATAACCATCCTAAAATTAACAAATTCTGATTAAGCATTATTTTAATATTTAAATTGATAATTTACATAGTTCTAATTCTGGATAAAGTTCATTAATTAATACTATACCTTCAAGAAAAAGTAAAGTTTAAGAAATTGAAGTCATTAAATTTCAAACCAAGAGAAAAATTAGAGAATATTATGGTAACATTGAAAAAAATGAATATCATGGCTAAGGATTGTTATAAGATTATTAAGATAATTTAATTTATGATGGAAATTGGAAGATAGGTGAATTTGAGAAAGGAAGTTAAATTATTAGAGAAAAAGATTTACAGATAATAAATGATCATGTTGAAATTAAAGGAACTTTTAGGAATTGGCAACCTCATGGTAATAATATTATGACATATATTAACGATGAACATATATGTATAGGAGAATATAAAAATGGAATTATGGTAGGATAGCATGATCATTATAAAAAAGAAAAAAAGGATAAATGGATAAATTATTAAAAAGCTGATGAAAAAGATGATGATTTAAAAATTTGGAAAAATAATAATAAAAAATACTATAGCGTTTCTAAAAGGTTTACTATTTTTGATAATATTTTCTGATTTAACAATTAAACCCTAGCTTGACTAATTTTAAATATATTTAATTTATTTATTTTAAAAATCCTATTCTAATTCTTTAAATACTTATTTATTAAATTATTTATAAATCTAAGGATAAATAAAAAATAAATAGATTAAAAAGAATTAATTGATTCTTGTTATTTTTAATAATTTTTATATAAATTATTCAATAATTTGGAATCTTTTAATAAGTTGAGACTGAAATAATATTTTTTTAATTTTTTCACAAATTTAATCGACTTAATTGTTGTTTTCTTCATTATATTTTGAAAAAACTATATTAAATAAAAAAAAAATAATTATGAAGATGATTTTCTAGAGTAAAGAGATGTGAAAATTACTTTTATTAAATTAGTAATCAATAGCGAATTAGATTTTTGAATATTAATTTAAAGACCATCAGCAATGGCTAAAGAATAATATATTTGAAGATTTAAATAATAATAATAAAATATTATTATTGTTTTAAATAAAATATCAAAAAGATAGATATTTCATTTAATAATAATATTATACAATAATTAATCAATATATTCTAGAATATTTTTCTTAAGTATAAACTTCCAAATATCTGGTATGATCTCATATAAAATAATATAATATAATTTTTTTATTTATAATTGTTCATATCAATCAAGAAATCTTTCTCGATTTAAAGTTTAATCATTAAAATATATAATATAATATAATATAATATAATATAATTATAATATAATATAATATAATATAATATAATATAATTCATTTTTTATCCAAAAATTAAATCTTGTGAATGATATTCCACTTCATTGAAAATTAACTATTTAATTTAATTTGTTGATTGTTATTAAATTTATTGTAACATTCATTAAAAATAATGATGATACTGTTTTAAAAACAATAAGGTTTTCTAAATATACTTATAATTTGTATTTTAATATTTTTAATATTATTGATAATTTTTTGTATAGAAAGTACACATTTTAATAATTTATCAGATTTTAAATCAATAATCTACTCTTAAATATAATTTTATCTTTTATATTTCATCTCCAATACATTTCTAAGAATATTCAAATAATATCTAGTCATTGCTAGAAGCGATAGTTAAAATATGATTTTATTTATAGTTTAACTCTTATATTTCTATATATTTTAAAATTGTATTAGTTAATTTGAAAAACTTAAAAAAATGGATCATTATTTATAGAATAATTGTTATGTTATATTTATTTTTATCAAATTTTGGAATCACCCCCAAAAATATAAATTATTCCTTATAAGTGTAAATTCTTACTAATTTCATCATATTTAAATAATAAATTTATGCGACCCATTCAATTGAAAAATCAACCATTTATTTTATCCTAGTGTTTGATTATTTTTGCCAGTTAGACTAGTGATAAAAAGAATCATTACATAAAATATTAGTATAAAGTTAATTGAAAACTTAATGAAATTAGAATTAGCAATATCTATCTTGCAATTTTTGTATTAATAATTATGAATGTAAAATTAACTTGTATGTAATAATTTGACTGAGTATTATATTTTAATTTATTTCAATAATTTGGTTTATAACATAAAAAATTATAATTTAAAATAAATATTTAAATTCATTATTTATTTCAAATTTAAAATTCACCCTAGCTACTATATTCTTAATTAGATTCAAATGAAAAATTATTTTTTTTAAACATTTAATTCCATCTACCAAATTTTTAACCATCTTTGTATTCTCCACTATTTAAAACCAAACTATATGAATTGAAGTCTAAATATATTACTTTTAGAATTCATGCTATACATCAACCCAATATCCAGTCTTTATTGATATATACCCAAAACATGTTTGTTTTAAATCATATTATCCACCACCACTAAAAAATAATTGAAATTGAATTAAATAATTTTTACATTAATTCTAATTATTCATCCTAATTCTTCCTTAAATAAATATCCCATTTTCCAACCTTTTGACTGTATAAATATTCTCCTTCATAAATAATTTAGTGTTCCCTTTAAAAATGTATTATACTGAAATACCAATCTAACAATTCTCTCCATTTTCCTGATTTATGTCCTAAACCAATTCTAATAACACTATTATTATTGTTGTTTATCGCATATAATCCTCCACCACTTTACAAAAAAATAATTAATATTTGAGGACTGATAATTGTAATTATTACATTTATTCAATTTTATTTTGACATCTCAAATAAAAAATATCCCATCTTCCAACCTTGATACCTTAATGATATTCTCCTTAATAAATTATTTAAGAAGGGCTATCAATAATAAATAATCAATCATACAATACCAACAAAAATCATCAAATAATTCAATCCATAATCCTTATTTGATGCTTAAGCAATTAATTTCATTTTAATCTATATATTTTTGTTCATATAATCCACCACCTCTAAAAAATCAAATAAAATGCATTATAATTTGTTTTATTACATTTATTCAAATGGTTCATTTTCATGAAACTTAAATAAATAATTCCATCTCCCTACTTTTTTACCAAAATGATATTCACCTTCACAAAGTATCTAACGTTACCTAATAATTAATGATAATTTAATACTAACAAAATCCATTTATCAATTCTATCCATTTACCTTACTTAATTCCAAAACAAAATCTAACATCTTGATGATATGATCCACCACCACTTTAAAATAATTTAAAATTAGAATTATTACATTTATAGAAATGAGTTAAAAGGATGATTTCTATATAAAATATCCCATTTCCCAACTTTTTTTCCATTTTTATATTCTCCTTTATAAATAGTTTGACAATCACTAATTATAAAAATAATTAAGATACTTATTAAAATTATCACCCAATTCAATCCATTATCCAGTTTTCTATTAATTTCCTTCTATAAATTAGTTTATTCCATATGATCCTCCTCCACTAAAATAGAAAAACTTAAAGTTATGTAATACATATTTCTCCATCTATATCTTGTATCCCATCTACCAACTTTCTTACCATTTTTATATCCACCTTTAAATATGACTTAATAATTTCTAATTATAAATATTTAAATATATAAATTACTTGCAAAAGTTATCACTTAATTCTACCCAACATCCTACTTTAACTGAATAAATGACATCATCATCTTTTTTTTCATAATCATAAGATCCTCCACCACTATATATAATAAACATGAAGATAAACATTTATTTATAAGAACTTCGATCATTATCCTTCCAGAATGTATCCCATCTACCAACTTTTAAACCATTATTATATTCACCACTAAAAATTACTTAACGTTCACTAAAAAGAATTCACAATCAAATTATTTTACCTTCTAAACCCATTAATTACCTCTATCCATTTTCCTATTTTCACCCCTTATAAAAATTCATTATTCTATTCTTTAATTTCTTAATATGATCCTCCTCCACTTATTTATTTAAGAATCATAAGTATTAAATTAAATATCCATACATTTTTCTAAAACTTTTTTATTCAAACGTTTTAACTAAAATATCCCAACTACCAATTTTTATTCCATCATTATATCTACCTTTATGAATAACTTAATATTCACTAAAATTATAAATAATTTAATATATATACCAACAATATTCATCATTCAATTCAATCCATTTTCCATTTTTCACTGTAAAATCACTTCCTTTTTTATATTAATATAATCCATAACCTCTAAAATATAATTATCTAAAATATTTTTACATTTATTTATATGATTTATCGTTATCCATAAAACTTTTTAAATAAATCTCCCAAAGACCTATTTTTTCACCATGCTTATACTCTCCCTTAAAAATTATTTAACTATGACTAAATTATAATATCTTCTTTAATACTCAGAAAAATGTTTGCTCAATTCTATCCATTTTCCTATTTTCTCTCCATCTTAATCATATTATCCTTGAGAACTATAAATATATTTTTTATATTATACATAAAATCACCTTTATAATACTATTTCCATATCCCAATTCTTAAATTTTTGTAATATTCTCCAAATTCATAAACTTTAGCATGTCTTTTAAAAAAATTAATTTCTTTATTACTAATTATAATTTTTTATTAATTAATTCCATTAGCCTTATTTTTTTCCATCGATTGAATAAAAGCCACCAATATCAATTAAAGATTCACCTTACCAAATTGCTGTCCATTTTCCAATTTTTAGATGATCATGTCCATATTTACCAATCCATTATAAATGCATAATTTATTCTAGATTTGTAATTGATTCTTGAATCTAGGATTAATCTTTGATATAATCTCTACAATTTAATCAAATATTTATTTACATTTTCATTTTTATACCATTTTCTGATAAGTATTAAACTTAGTTATTAACAAATTTTTTTATTTAGAATTTAGATTTCATGAATCCTGTTGAAATATTATACTCATCCTCATATACATCTCCATAATTTTCTTCTTATTAAAGTTAATCTTCTGATTTTAGTCTATTTTTTCTTGTTTAATCAAGACAAGGTATAAATAACATATTTCCCATTATTTTAAAAATAAAATAACTTTACTATTTAAATTATTTTATTTTGAATGAATGTTTTTCATATTATTAAGTTTGCATATATATATTACTTGATGAAAAATGATCCAATATTTTGTATTTTTTAGATTGAGATTATTTTTAAAATTATAGTAGAGTATAATTTTTGTCTTAAGGAACCAGTTAGATTTTTATCATTTTTAATCCACTAATTTCTCTTAATTCTCATTAATCGATTGACTAAAAAAACACCTTTTATGTTATCCTGGTTCGAGAAAACCTGCATAAATATCAAAACAATATCTTAATGATAAGAATGAAAAAAAAATATATATTTTATCAATATATTTATTAAAACAAGATTATAAGTTATATAATACAAAATGTATATTTATATGCCAATAGGAAAACTAATTCTACAAAGTTATAGTTGTTATTAAAATATTTGAAATTAAGATATTTCATTTTAATCTTTTTGAAGTCATATACTTAGAAGGTGATTAGTATCTCAAATTTATAAATATTATTGAAGAATTACCAAAAAAAAACTCAATGAATAAAAAATGAGTATTTCAATAATAAAATTTCATCTATCCAGAAAAATTAATTCACTTTTTTCAAATAAGTTTATTAATCAAATAATTTTAGAAATTTATTTAATTAAATAATGATCTGATTTTATGAAAAAAAAAATTAGATATCTTATGTAATGCACTTTAAAAATAAAATATTGATAAATAAGTTAATTGTAATTATTTAATAGTTGAATATCATCTTCTCTAAAATAGAAGCATATAAAATGAAATAAAAGTAATGTGTTAATTTTTTTTTGAAAAATCATTTTGATTTTTCAATTTTTAACGAAAATAATTGATGAATATATTGATAATTAAATTTATGATACAATAAAAATAACTAGAGAATGAAACTGTTTTTTCATGCCAATAACACTTAGGATAGCCTATATGCAAAATAGTATTAGACCAAAACTTAAAAACAAAATAACGACTTTTGTGTTCCTTATGCATTGAAAGCATTGATAAAAATCTAAAAACAATTGAAATTTAGAAAGCGTTGGGGATTCTTCAATAATAACAAAATAAAAGTACTAAATAAGATAAAGACTTTATTCAACCTTATCTTACTAATCTTGAAAACATACAGAATAAGATATTTTAATTACAATAATACTTAAATAGCTAATTAGAAAAAATAATATAAATTACTGCTGCTTGGATTAAAGAGGTGAAGACTGTTAATAATAATAATGAAATTCATAGACTAATTAAAAATCTTGACAATTAAATAAATAATGAAAACAATTAAATTGAAAGAGATCCATAATTAATAATAAGTGAACTTCATGAAATTTCTGTGTAATAATGTTGCGAACTAAATGTTTAACTTGAATAATTTAGTACATTTAAAGATGCTTAAGAGTGTAGAAAGATAGTTGGAACAATAATTAATTATTAGAAAATGAGTTTATAGAATTAAGAATTAGGCAATTAATAAGAAATTGATAAAGCATTTAACTATGAAATAATAGCCTAGAGTTCAATCAAATAACCAGAATATTGTCATGCTATAGCTATCAATTAAAAAAATACACTTGTATTAGTTGGGTGTGAAAAAGATATTAAAGTTTTTGAATTATATTAAGTTAAGATGAAATAAATTTAAATATTATAAGGTCATACTGATTCTATATTTACACTAGATTTCTTTAAGAAATAAGAAAATTCATTTATTTCAGGATCAAGAGATGACTCTATAAGAATTTGGTAGTATTAAAATTAATAGATTCATTAATGGATTTGTAAATAAATATTAACAGGACATAAATCTTCCATTTTTTGCTTAATTTACAATTAGTAAGAAGATCTATTAATATCTGGAAGTGATGATAAAACAATTAAGTTTTGGAGTTTAAATCAAAACATTTACGAATCAGAAAATAGCCAACAGAAATTATGGTATTGTTCATAAACGCTTACAAAGCATAAAAACTATGTTTATTCATTATCAATTAATTAAGATTAAACAAAAATAATCTCTTGTGGACTAGATAAATTTATTCTAGTTATAGAACATTTAAAAACTACTAATGGTTAATTATGGATGGTTGTGTAAAAAATTAAAATTGAAAATGATGGATATCGATTATGTTTTTTAGATAATCATGTTTTTGCATTTTAACCTAGATCATTTTCTAAAATGGAAATTTATGAAGTTTTAAGTACCTCTTTAGGTCAATTTGTTAAGAATAAAGAAGTAAACGTTAATGGATTTTATCAATCTTGTGATCATCTTTTTCCACCAAAGTTTTCTGCCCTTAAAGCTCTTCTTATAATGAAAAATGGTAAGAATATCAATATTATTAAATTTAAAAATTATATAGATAGAAAAATTGTCAGTGAAACTTAATTTGTCTAAGAATAAGTTATAGAATTTGAAGACAATTGTATATATGGCACACTTAGTGAAAATGGGTAATATCTAATTTCTTGGGACTATTTTACAAAAGAAATATAAATTAGGATTTATCAATAATAGACATGATATTATTAGAAATAAAAATATTATATTATTACAAATAATAAGTTTATTTATATAATATTAAATATAAATATGATGTTGATTAAAAGTGGGGGTAATAGACAGAATATTATTATTGTAAGCGTTTATAAACATCATAGATCAATAGTATTTTTCAATCTAATGAAAAAAACAATATAAAATTTAAAGGTAAAATTAAATTGAAAATCTTTACAACTAATTTTTCAATAAATGAAAAATATTAAAAACACATAAAGGCGAACAATCAACAACAGTTTATTTTTATATTATAATTGCAAAATGAAAAAACCAAAATAAAAAGTATATTAATTACTATATTTTTATTCAAAACTATTGGTATCCAAAGATATAGATTTTTTACGAATAGGGCATTTTTTAATAAAATATCCATATGACGCTTATATGTTGTAGAAGTAGTTTAATGGCACAATCTAAAAGATTTATTATATTTATTCATATTTTTTGATTATAAATAACTAATTGATTTATCCAAACTTTTAATCAAAGAGGTTATATATAATTAGAATTGGATAATGGATTGTTAATAATTTATCAATAAGTATAAAAATTTATTTTCTAATAATTATCAATAATTAAGTTAATTTTTGTTTTAATGATTAAACTTTAAATCGAGAAAGATTTCTTGATTGATATGAACAATTATAAATTAAAAAACTAATCTTCCATTTTTTAAACCTAAAAATATTTCATGTCCATAAATAAAATTAATTCAGTATTTAGTTCAAATTAGATATTTGTAAATAAAATCAAAAAAGTTAATGAATGATGGGAATTATGAATTATCAGAGAAGAAAGTTTTTGGGAAATGAATGTTTTGCAAAGTATTACAAAATCATATAAACCTCAAAATGGAATATTTTAGATAAGATAGCAAAAACTTGATATGATTAAAAGTATTTTTTATTAATAGATGTAGATAATTTCAGAATTAAAAATACATAAGAGTTTGCAAAAAAATAACATTGCAATTATGTTCTACCTCAATAAAAAATGAAAATTATATTACTGAACTGTCTGCAAAAAGTCAAAGTTATAGTTATTAAATAATGAAAATCATATGATATTGAAAAATAAAGGATTGATTCTATATTGAAAAAGTGAAGGATCATGTGTTGAAATTTATCATGAAGTATTATAGGTTTAGGTGATTTAAATAATCCTTTACTACATATTAGAGATGTGAACTAAAGATATAATTTTATTTTTATATTTATTAAAACTTAAATTTTAAAATTATAATAATCAAATTATAATTAGATAAATTTTATATCAAAAGAAAAAAATATTTAATATTAGTTTCATTCTTCTTATCTTTATATCACTCATCATCTACTGAGTCTGTAGAGGGGCATTTAGCTTTCTTAACAAAATTGATTCTTTCCATTCTTATTTTTTGCAAATATCCAAAATATGAATCATCAGGCTGACGATTAAGTTATGAAATGCTGGTTTACATACTCTTACTCCAATAATTATGTTTTTTAAACTTAAATTCTAAAACAGAACTAAATCAAATAATTTACAAATACCCTCTTTTTGATGTTTTCCTAAAAAAGAAGTAGCCATCTTCATCACTGTAATTGTAATTTTTATTTTTTCTTTTATCTTTCTTTTTCTATTTTTTCTCTTTGTTTCGATTAGGTTCATCTTTTTTAGAATCTTTAGGTTCATCTTTTTTAACTTCTTTAGGTTCATCTTTTCTAGAATCTACAGCTGTTGAATATGCTTTCAGATATTCTTTTTTATGATAATCATCCCTTTCAGTGTTATGAGCTAATATTCTATTTTTCCATTTTTATGAAGTTAACATATCTGTATTAAATTAATTTTTGAGAAAATCATTTAGACTTACATATTTTAAATTTAATATTGATTCTGTATTGATGAAATTATCAGTATTAGGTTTAGAATTAACCATTTTAACTTAAATTTTCACTCCTTACAATCCTTTCCATTTTAGTAATCCTTTACAATAAAATTATGCTATAATTCTTCCAGTTATTATTATTTATACTTAATCATCCGACTTATATAAAGTTATCACTCCAAAATCATGAATATATTATTCAACTCGTTAACTAAAATTAAAAGTTTATTCAAATTATAAATCTTATGCAACATAACCTTTTGCCATTATACTCTCTTTTATTTTAATTTTTGATAATGGTTAATAAAGCATTTCAATCCAAAGTTATCCAGAAGGATAACTTTTCGTTTATTTTTATAACTATTCCTATTCATTTGATAAAGCGTCTTCAATACTAATAATCATTAATGCATCATTGATTATTTAACCATATTAATTTTGAACAATAGCTTAAAATATAAATTTTATAATTGCAATATCTAAAAAAATATAAATATTCTCCTCATAACTAACTTATTTTTAATTATTACTTTGTGAATTTAGGAATATTAGGAACCTCTTTTTTATCTAGAAATTATCCTTAATACCAATGACTACAATCAGAACTCCAATACCCATTTTTTTATCCATTATAATCAATATCATCAAAATTTTATCCTTTTGGCAATAAAAAATAAACAGTCTTAAAACCATTTTCATCAGTTTACGCTTTAACAGAAATTTTATTATTTTTATCTCCAATTTTACTGATTTGCACATCTATATTTACATTTGCAAGAGGAATTTTTCTTTACACTGAAAGATACCCAAATGTGCTGATCTTAGATATCAATTCCAAAAAATTACATAAATCACACTAAGTTCAAAATTTTTCTAATCATCTTTAGAAAACATTAATTCTCGACTAAAGCTAATTATATTATTATCCACATTTAGTTTTGATATGTCTAAAGTTTTAATTGCTTTGAAATTCCCAAAACTTGTTTAAGCAATTAGATCAATCATTTTGAAACAAACATTTCGTTATCCCTTTATAATTACCTCCATCCGTTATACCACTTCCAATAATTAATGAATTATTTTGGTATCTAACATTTTATATGTATAATTACCTCATTTAAACTTAAATACCTTATAATGCGTAACCATTATAATCTCTAACTTAAACCGTCCCTTATAAAATAACAAGGTTTAGACATTAGCTATTTGCATTTATAATTAATGATAGAAATTAAATTAACATTATATTTTTATATTAAACATTTCCCTAAAATTTAAGATCAACTATAAAAAATATTCTATTATACTCAATTAACAAAAATATAATTTATTTTTTTCACTGTTTAAATTTATTTAGAACTAATTTTAATCAAATAAAATATGCTATGGATTTTTCAATAAAGTTCTTAGTATTAAAATTTATTTCTAATACTAGAAATATAATTAATTTTTAGATCAAGAATTGATAAATATATCTATGCTATCAATTTATTCACCATATAATAAATAAAAGTCTTCAAAGTGTTATTAAACAATGCCCTATTAATTGAAAAAAATTTAATTCAAAGATAATTATAAATTCATAGCAGAAGAAAATCTTAACAATTTTAATCTAAGCACCCTCAATATTAAAACATTCATGAAGAAAGAACAGAAATTAGCTATGAAATGTAAAGAATATTTTAATAACAATTTAATCAATTTATTCATAAACTATTATATAAACTTTAAATAACAATTAATTATTTACTATTTCTTCACTTAAATTAATAATAAATTTAGTTGATTTTAGAAATTAATTATCTAGATTATAAATGAAAATAAGAATATTTTTTCTATTCAAATAAGAATTAAAATTTTTATAATGTCATTTTGAAATTGATAATTTAATTATTTTTAAATTTAAATAAGCTAATTAAATATGTTATCTTGTTAATCAGAGATTGAAAATAATTTGTTTCAACCTTTCTACACGATAAAATATATGATTCATCACTTATGTAGATGTTTAAATTTGATAATAAATATCAAATATCTGATTATCATTTAGATGCTAATTGAGGGAATAATGCCTAAATGTTTATAGATTTATATCCTAATAAAATTATTTATATATAATACTTACTTAAAATCAAAATAATTGGTATGTATGTGAAATAAAATAATCCCATGATATTTGTTTGCCATCAGTTGGACCTAATCTTAGAATTTGGCTGAATTTATTAATATTCTAAATTTCTTCCTTAAACCATATTTTTACACTTTATATCAATATAATTCATATCATGATAGATAGAATAAGTTATTTCATTTAAAAATGATTATTATTTATAACATTTCAGACCAAAATTATAAATTTATTTTAAATTTAGCTCAAAATTTGTAAAAGAATTATTCTGGATTAAAATTAGAAATTAGGACAAAATTCAAAAAAAGTTGGGAAAAAAATTCTCAGCTATTTTGTTACATATTAATTTTCTTTTTATAAGGGGTAATGAAGTAATATTAATAAAATAAATATTTTAGAATAATTATTTCTTTTCTCATTAAATAAGATAATGGAACAGTAATAAAAATAAACTAGGATTTTAATCTGACACATGTACACTAGATAAATTCTAAGAAAATTTAAAAAATACAAAATTGATATCAAAACTCAATTCTACCCTAAAGCAGGTAGATATGCTAGTCATGAATTTGACTCTCTAAAAATTACAGTGCCTAATAGCAATAATAATACAAATGGAAATTCTCAATTAGCTTGGAAACCTGTATGTTAATCAAAGGAAGCTATTTCAAGCTATATGGCAAAAAACTCAGCCTTTAAAGTTTCACTCTATATGACCAATTTAGTTATGAATCCTTCAAATTTATAAGATTTTACATCCGCTTTCCTAGATGACGAATTATACATGAAATAATTTAAGAATTAGCAATGTGCCTTTTTCAAACTAGTCATTTTGAAAATAGATTGACTTCGTTTAATCATTATTATAAATTCGAATTCTTAATAATATTAAAATTAACAGCCTTATTTCAAATTTTTAAAACTCTTAATAACATATTATTAAATTGAATGATAAAAAATACATAAAGCAATATTGAAAACCATTTTTCTCTAAATGAGCCCCTGCAATAAAGTTAACAATACATTAGATATTATTTTTATAAATATTATGCTTAATTTACTATTTCAGACACAATCCAAAACTCATCACATTTATAGCATTATCAAATTTAAAAGTGATTAGAGAGTTTAGAAAACTTATAGATTGAAATCTTGATATGAATACATCCCCACTTATTTGAAATTTTGTAGATTTGTTGAAAGGAATTGAATGTTTTTTCGGAAAATTGCAAACACTGTTATAATTTGTTTTACAATAACGATGCTAATTTGTTTTTTTCTTATCCTTTCTTATGCGCCAAAGATTATGTTTAGATCTTTTGAAAAATATACCCTCACTCTGCCTCCCTAATGAAGTGTTAAGACTTTAAATAGCCCTAAAATTGAATAAAATAGATAGTGTTGTCATATTGAAAGAAAGTGTGCTTTAAAATATTTCATGATTTGGAGTAAATGTAAATAAGATATTTACCATCCAAACTTTGTCAAGAAGATACTCAATCAAATCCCCAAGGTTTATCAACTTAAATACCTTCTGGTAGTTTCCATAAATTTTGCAGGGTTTTATTTTTTAACAAGAGTTATCAATGAAAGAAAAATACCACCACAAAAAAATAAAATAAAAGAAAATCAGATATCCCCTTCAGAACCTTACTTTAGTAAACAAAATAATTAAAAATAATTATTGCGAAAATGCAAACTTAAAACTTTTCAGTTTATGAATAATCTTCATTAACGATTAACGGGCTAAATTCAGAGTCTTTAGTTTTTTTAAACTACTTTAAATCCACAACTTCAGCAAAAAATCAAAATAATTTATTTACTCATTAACATTTCTGTACCATATTTCTTAAATAGGAAATGAGCAGTCAAATTTAAAATTATGGTCTAAAAGGTTTTTAAGAAAGAAGAATGATTGAGCTTCATTAAGATCAAGAATAAACATAATTGGTGTAATGTGGGAGGATTTTTCTTTATAAGTGTCCTAAATGTAACGTTAATTCGCTAATGATAAAGAACTTTTTAATTAGTGTGATTCAAATATGTAATAGGAAGTATGGGATTATTAATTTTTTTAATATTAGACAATGCATTGGTTCACAAAGCTTAACATTTAATGGAGGAAATTTATCAATATCTAACTCATATGTTTTTACCTCCATATTCTCCATAATCCAATAAAACTTTTATGAGGATAATTCGAATCACATTTTATCAAATAAACTTGTTTTTGTATATATTTTGAATATATAAATTTCAAGATAAGCAAACATATTTTGGAGAAAATATATTTTTTAAACAGATGATTGTTTAACACCTTTTTAAATTATGGTAAATGAAACATTTATGTTATGCATAATTTTATATGAGAAGGAGTATAATTAATAAAATGTTGACGATTTAATGTCATATTTGTGAGGATTCATATAAATAATGATAGCATTTTTTGGATTTTTTATTTAAGTCTATAAAAAATAATCATGTAATTGATATAGTGAATTATTTATAGAATTAGAGATCTAGAAAGTTAGAATTTACTTTTCGGTTTTTTATTAAAAAAGTATTGTATGAGAAAATGATGAAAAATCCTTAAATTTTGTTATTGATTAGAATTAAATAAATGCAGAATTCGGTGTATTTGGAATATTTATAAATTACATGAAATAGATAAATTAAAAGAATTATTATTAAAAAAGCTTAACAAATCATATTGAATTTACACTAGATAACGAGCTTAAACTATGAAATCATCAAAAAATTCTAGGGTTGATTTTCAATATATATTTAGGTCTATTAATAAAGTAGATTCTTCAGTTGAAGTCTAATTAGATTAATAAACAAAATTTTATTGAAAATAAAGAGGATTTTCTTGATTCAGAATTTCCTAAATATAAATATTCAAAGTTATTTAAAGTAAATATATTAAATTAAAAAAGGCAGATGAAAAATTGATGGCCTTTATTGAAAATTAAAATGAAGATGCATATTAAAATAATTGATAAATAAGAAAACTAGCCCCTTAAATATAGAATATTTTTGAAGTTTTGGGCTTTTAATGTAAGAAACAAAAGCGTCTAAAGAAATTGACGTAACTGATAGAGCTAAAAAGCTAATATCGTCTAAATTTAGCAGAATTCAAAAATCCTACCTAATAAGACCCAAGATACAGATCGAGAAATTGATCAGCAAGATATTGAAATGCAATTTAGTCCAAAGACTTCTTAAAATAAAACCATTTTGAAACGAGTCAAAGGAAAAAGAAATTCGAAAAAATTTTGAATTATTAATTTTCGAATATATTTAAAGAGTGGAATGAGAATAATTATTTTCACAAATTTATCATACTGTTATTGAGATTAGTTTCTATTGTGATATATACAATTTTCTAATGAAATAATTATCGTTAAAAATTATTATTTTTAATTAATATACACACATATTTATTTATCACTTCCATATCAAAGGAATTAATGAACATAATAATAAAATATTTCCTAGAATCTATTCTCCATTAAATTAGACTTTAAAGATAAAAACGTCAATTAAATATCCAAAAAATATTTAGATTTAACTAACATTAGAGATTACACTTAATTTTCCTTATCTCATAGCTGAGACTGATAATTGACCTGAAAAGAGTGACATTACAGATATCATTATAATCAAAAATGCTTCATATTAAGAAGGAAAAATAAATCTAGATTTTATAAAAATTATTACTTTGATCCCTTAGTTAAAGAGATAACGGAAGGAAAGATAGTTGCAAAAAAGGATTGATAAATACAAATCGCTAAATTATCAACCTAAATCTTAATATAATCATTACTTCTTTATTAATTTACTATATTAAAATATTAACAAATGCTTAGGAAATCGAGGCCAAACATATTAATATTATGCCTAAATTATGATAGTATCCATCTTCCACATTATTAGCTTAATTTTTATTGGTGTTATTTTTGGCAACTAAATAAATACCCACACTGCAAAGAAGCATATTTAAACACAATCTGCGGTTGAATTATTCCTTTTTTAATATTAAAATCTAAATAATTGATGTCCAAATGGGAGACATCCTATTTAGAATAATAGATTCAGAAACCAGAACCAAATCCAATCCTTAAAAATATAAAAATGCTCCAAAGCTTGCTAAAAGACCTCTTTCTATTAGGGTTTTCATAGTTTGTTTATCAAAACCTTAAACTTAGGTTTTGTAATGGTTAATAATTAAAATTAGAAGTATAAAACTACTTATTCCTCTTAAATATAAGGTTTGATTGAAGTTTAATTCTTGGATTAATTTTAAAAGCATTGCTGTCATAGCTGCAAATAAAGATGATCCGATTTATAAGATTATAGCTATGCTTTCGAATTCCATAAGAAAATCAATTAGATAAATAATATTGGATTTATGAAATAACAGCCCTTATGAAAAATTCAAAATTGATAATTATAATAAGAAATAACAGCCTTTAAATATTTTTAAATTAGAATCTCTATTTGGGTTTGGTTTTGAATAATATAAAACACTACTTACATAGTAATAT